TTTATTTGGAATACTATATTCTTGACAATTTACAGGGCTATTTTGGGGCAGGAACGCACAGGAACGGAGTTCCGGCTGGCTCCCGAGTTGGCCACGCCCAGCAGGAACTCATTAGCATAATAGGCCACACCCAACAGCAGAAACTCATTAGGATTGGCTACATTAGGGGTGTGTGGCCTAACATGCAAAGAAATTCCTGCTACAAAAAAAGCCCTGGGTTTTGACAACAAACAAGGTAAACAGAATAAGAAGCAAAAGGTGGGTGTGGCTGGATGACCACACTTCTGGTAACATGGGAGTGCGGCCTAATATGCCAATGAGCTGTGCTCTCAGGGGTGTGGCCTAATATGCTAATGAGTTTCTGCTGTTGGGTGTGGCCAATTATGCTAATTAGTTCCTGCTGGGCTTTTTCTACAAAAAGAGCCTTGAATTTATAACGGTTTGGTAATAAGTATTTTGAATAGTTTGAGGTTCTTATTCTGTACTAATTATAATAACTATATTAAGCCTTCAGTAAATATTTTTGCACGTTTCTTTACTTCGGTGTCTTTGTACACAGGAGTTGCGCTTTGTTTGCATTCCCTGGCTGCACAGCTCCTGGTATTTTTTCTGTTTGAATATGACAGCAGTTCTATTCAACTCAGGATGCGCTCCCTCTAGGGTTGCGGTGCTCATCTCCGTTTCAAAGCCGAAGAGCCAGCGCTGTCCGAAGACATTTCCGTGGTCATCTGGCCAGCATGACTAAACCAAGGCGCATGGAAGAGTAGAGCGGAATAATTAAAGGAAACATTGTCATCGTCCCCACCTCCCCCGCTTGCATCTTTGCGACAACCTGTCCGCTCATCTTTCTCTCCTCCCCGCAGGAAAAATGTCACCACTACCAAGATCCCAGACACGAAAGGATGCCAGAAGTGTTGCGTGGGTGAGTGCAAATCCAGCTCTTTCCTGTAGGGGTGGGTCTCCCTGTAATCCCAGGGGATCCTTCACTGTCTACATGCAAAACACAACTTCCTTTCTACCCTGCGCGAAAAGAGGCTTGATCCCCAGAACAAGCAGCTGTAGATCTTGCCTCTCCCTTGCGTCTAACTATAGGCAGACACAAGCTCCTGTTTCCCTTGCAGCCAGGAACGAGCTGACCGGTTGCCACTACCTGTGCGGGGCGCTGGAAGCGGGAGTGGTCTTGTTGCAGTGGTATGAACCCATGCAGAAGTTCATGCTGGTCAAGGTAAGGCCCTGCAGCAGCAGCAGCGGGGAGGGGAGACCTGGACTCAGGCAGAGAAGCGACGGGCAGCCTCTTTCAAGGACAAGCGGGGTCTGCTGTGTCTCTGCGCGGGGGGAAGGCTCATCTGGGTGTGGAAAGAGCTGCCTGCGGAACAGAAAAGCGCTGCCTTGATTGCCTCCTCTCCTTGGTGTAGAAAGACACACACGTTGCAGGCCCATCGCCACAGCGGGGCCACGCCCCCTTAATTCACAGCCACGCCCCACAAGTTGGTCTCACGGGGTAGCTCTTTTTAAAAAGCTGGTGGGAGCCGCCTTGGTGGCGCTGCGGTTCCTGAGAATTATTTTTTTAAAAAAATATATATTTTAAATTGTGTGGTGTCAGAAGTGACATCGCGCCCCACTGGTTCCCCTGCTGCGCCCCCCGCCTCGAAAATTTCCTGGGTACGAGTTCTTCCTCAGGCCCACTACCCCCAGAGCTTCCTCCAAAGCCCACCTCAATCTAGGCACCGAGGCTTCACGCTACACATTAACTTGTGATGCGGGAGCTGCAAGGTGCAACGGTGGGGTGCGGGACGGACCGGAAAGGGACGCGCTTCTGCCGACCCGGTGTAGCGAAAGTGGCTAAGGGACTGAGCTGCGACCGCAGAAATCCCCAGTTCCAAAGTCGCCTCGGCTGTGAGATCGCTAAGCGGCCTCAGACACACACAAAACCTTTATTGGCACGAAAGCACAAAACGTCATGGAAATACGGGACAATACTAAGATGCATCAGTCACTGACTGATAGAAGCCTTTGATTGGTTTCTAAGCATAAAGCTGCATAAGGAACACAAGAGGGAAGTCCAAGAATTTTCGCTAAGTGGCCTCATTTGAGACACCTCATCCCCCAGATCTGTAATATGCAGACAATGATCCTGACCTACCTTCCAGGGCCGTTGTACGTGCTCTGAGCCTTTGAAAGCACCAGCCATGCACGTGTGACTCTGATGGGCAGTAACACCCGCCGTCTCCCCTCTTCTGCCAGTATTTCGACTTCCCTCTGCCCTCGCCGCTGCCTGTCTTCGAGATGCTGGTGACCCCCCAGGAGGAGTACCCGGTGATCTGTATCGGAGTGAGCCGGGGAGCGCCCGGGCAGGCCGTGGAGTTCCACGTCATCAACCTCAATTCGCTGACCTCCTGGTTCATCGACGACGGCTCCGGTAGTTCTGGGCAGCCACATGTGACCCCGGCCCTGGAGGGGGCACTCTCCAGCCTTGGGCCCCCCGATTTGCCAGCTGCAGGGTGGGAAATTCCTGGAGATTGGGGAGTGGAGCCTGGGGAGGTCAGGGCCTTCAGTGGGATATCCTGTCATAGAGCCTGCCCTCCAAAGCTGGCATTTCCTTTGTGAGAACTGATCTCTGTCGTCTGGAGATGAGCTGTAATTACGGAGGAATCTGCAGGCCCAAACTCCAAGGCAGATGGAGCAAATTTGGTGTAGCGGTGAAGTGCGTGGACTCTAATCTGGGAGAACCGGGTTTGATTCCCCACTCCTCCGCTTGCACCTGCTGGATGACCTTGGGCAAGCCGTAGCTCTGATAAGAGCTGTCCTTGAAAAAGAGCAGCTTCTGTCAGAGCTCTCTCAGCCCCGCCTACCTCACAGGGTGTCTGTTGTGGGGAGGGGAAGGGGAAGGAGTTTGTAAGCCGCTCTGAGACTCCGAGTGAAGGGAGGGGTAGGTGTAGTGGTTAAGTGCGCGGACTCTCATCTGGGAGAGCCGGGTTTGATTCCCCACTCCTCCGCTTGCACCTGCCTGGATGACCTTGGGCAAGCCGTAGTTCTGATAAGAGCTGTTCTTGAAAAAGAGCAGTTTGTGTCAGAGCTCTCTCAGCCCCACCCACCTCACAGGGTGTCTGTTGTGGGGAGGGAAAGGGAAAGGGTAAGCCGCTCTGCGACTCCTTTGGGTAGTGAAGGATGGGGTATACATCCAATCTCTTCTTCTTCTTCTTCCTTTTTTTGGGGGTGTTGTATTTTTCATGTGTGAGTGTGCGTGCACCTGGAAGTCATGGCGACCTCTGGTGACTGACCCCCTACTGGGCTGAATAAAGCCTGTCCCCGCCTCCCACCTCTGGTATTCCAAGGAGGTCTCCCATTCAAGTACTAGCCCGAGTCGACCCCGCTTAACTTCCGAGATCTGATGAGATCGGGCTTGCCTGGGCTATCCAGGTCAGGGCGTGCTGATTCCTTTATTCCACCTTCTGGGGTTTGCAGAACCCCAAGTAGCCCCTTAGGCCTGCTTCCGGGGCTAGCTGCAGGCCCCGGGGGTTGCAGGTTCAAGCCTCGGAGTCCATCGCTTGTGTGGAAAGGTTATCCTTTTTTGCGCGGTGCGGAGAGGCAGCCGTGCTGGCTCTCCCTGTAAAACGTCAGGAATGAAGGCTCCAACTGGCCACGTGTCCCTCTACCTCTAGCTAAGTCCTGGGAGATCGCGCACCCGTCCTTTCCCCTCCCACCGTCTTCTCGTCAGGCCGCTGGACCCTCAGAGAAGGTGTCTCCTTCCCCTCCCGCCCCTGCTGGGTGACAAAAGCCAGGCGGCAGAGGTCATTTCGGGGGGGATCGCAGTTCCCCCGGGCGAGGTACGGGAAGCGGGGCACATGATGAAGCCCTGCCCCCTGCTTCCGGCCGCCCCGCTTCCGGCCCTCATTCAGCCAGGAGGAGGCAGGAGAAGAGGGAGGGTAAGTTGCTTCCTCCCTGCCTCTCCCCACCCCTGCCTGCCTGGGGCCAGGAAGGGCCTTGGCGGGGCTTCCTTGTACTCCCGCCGGCCTTGCAGGTCCACCGCCGGGCCCCTCATGGGGCTCGGCAGTAGCCCCTCATTCAGCCAGGAGGAGGCAGGAGAAGAGGGAGGGTAAGTTGCTTCCTCCCTGCCTCTCCCCACCCCTGCCTGCCTGGGGCCAGGAAGGGCCTTGGCGGGGCTTCCTCGCACTCCCGCCGGCCTTGCAGGTCCACCGCCGGGCCCCTCATGGGGCTCATGAGTTATGCTAATGAGTTCCCCTAGCTCTTTTTCAACGAAACGACCCCTGCCAGGCGGAAATCCTTAACCGTTCCACCCGGTGCCGAATACAAAACAAAAAAAAACCAGGCAAAAT